TATAAAACAGCATCTATGGCAGGTAGGAAACAAAAGCAGTGCGCTTAGACATTTTGGAAGCCGCGCCTTCTCTATCATGGCGGGATAAAGCAGCTTTCAAACTCGGTTCTTGTGGTCTCAGCAGCTGTCATGGTTCTCCTTCCTGGCACCCAGGCCCGCCTGGCCTTCCAGCAGTCAGATGTGCCCACTTGCCTCATCTCCCTTCTTCCCCTTGTACTCATCGCCGTACTCTACCAATGAAGGAGAAGCAGTAACATTTTCTTTATTCTTTCCTTACGGCTCATTTACCAGCATGCCATTTATAGAACATGATTGAAAACGCCATGCTGAGCAAGCTCTAAATATTTCTTGCAAATCCCAGCTCAGACTGGGGATGCAAATATTTCAGATATTAACATAAGCTGGGAAAGAGACAAAGTGTCTCAACCTTCTTAAATAGCCCGTAGATGGTGGTTTCCTGGAGGTGTGCGTGCACGTGTGTGTGCGTGCGCGTGGGCATTCGTTGCTAACACCCGTGTTCAGCTCATTAAAATCCACAGGAAGCTTGCTCCAGTAATGACCCTGGCAGTCAGACATCTAGCATTTTCAGCCTTCCAGAATGCCCACAAACCCAAAGGTAACAGATCCTAGGTACTGAGCAAAAATGAAACCAGTCAGAGTACATTTAGAAGACACAGGACTGGTGGTCTACTGATCCCGACAAGTTTGCACCATAGTTTTAAAGGAATACCTGTCCTCACACCAGAGGTGAAGGAGCAGTGGCAGACATGTGAGAGAAGAAAAGAGGAAGAAAAGCTAGAGAAGAGAGAGAAACTTGCCAAATGGTGTAAGGGTGGCATGGGTGAGAGGTGACAGCTGAAGACAGAAAAGGCAGTGAGAAGCAAGGAAGAGGCGCCTGGGGCCAGCCAGGGGCAGAGGCTACCTCTCTTCTTGAGTTCGGTCAGTTTCTGACCCTTTCTCATGTCCTTGTGAGAATTTAGATAGGGCCCTTTCCCCAATAAAACACATATACTCACGTGCACAAAAATTTTGCATATGCAGTTTCAGAGATGTAAGTAATTTGCATAGTTATTGCAGTGCTCATAATATTTATCTTGCTGTCAGGAAGGATAGCATTTTGTTACATAAAATCTGTTTCATAACCCTGAGTAGTATGGAATGTATCTAAGACGCTTCCCTATGGACAAAAAAAAAAAAAAAAAAAAAAAAAAAAAAAAAAAAAAAAATTAAAATATGTCTCAACACTTCTGGGGGTATTTGGTCCTTTTGTTATTTGGAAAACACTTTTAAGTCTAATTCTCCTTTCTCCAACTGCTTTCAGTACCCAAGGCATTATGATTTGGTGCTCAGAAATTAAATGATTACTTATTTTTTTGATAACACAGTTTCTAATTACGATCTTGGGATACCTAGAAAGTTCTTAAGCAGAGCTCTTATATCCTTGTTTTATCTTATCTATGGACTTCCAGTGAGATTTAGTGTTTAAAAGTGAGACTTTAGGCTCCTGTATAAATAAGGATAAGCGTTGAGGCCTGAGTTCAGGCGAATTCTTGCTGCTGTGTCTTAGTGAGAGGGCATGTTGGGAGAACACATTTCACCCCCGATATTCAGCTTTCTTTCTTCTTTCAGAACCTCTTAGGTGGGACCTTTTGATACTTTATATAGAAGCTTTAGTGCTCAACTGCCTTTCACTAGAACAGCAAATAGAGGCCTAGAAGGGTCCTTTCTCTCCATGTCTGTCCACCTTGAAGACCCCCTACCAACCCGACCTGGCGAATCTGTTAGATCTGGCCCCCGAAAGCCTATAAGGGCACTGGATAACCCCCTTTTACCCTGTCTTTTTTTAATTGTTGAAAGTGGACTCAAACTGAATGCTCATCCAGATGCTTTTTTGCCGAAAACTTTAGTGTTTCTGAGCTGAATGGAGTTGTCAGTTTTCAAATCAGTTCATCACTTTAAAAAGTCAATAGTCTCACATGTGACATTTTTGAAGTTGCTGTGGGCAGCAAGGAGGGCCTGTCCAACCTTTGTGTAGCAGTAGACTGCACACTGCCTTCACAGATACTCAGTCTGGTGGCATAGTTTCCACGGGATATCAGCCTTCATGGCATATACTGTTGTGTCAAGATAGTATTCCTGTTTCCTGGCCAGGTTCCATAGAAGCCTTAGCAATTTATAGCCACTCCGTTGGCCAACACAACTTCACACTCTGGACAGCACGTGCTCGCACCAGACATCCCCCGGTCTCTTCACAATGCCTGGTAATCTTCCTTATTCTAGAGTGGCTCCCAAATGGGAATGATGGGGAGGAGAAAATTCTTAATGACCTGTGGGGTTTATTCATTAATTTATAAGCATTTCAGAACCTGTCAGAAGTTCTTTACTGTTGGCTTCTTTTTTTCTCTTTTGGCTGCCTGAGGCCCTTTTGTCTCCTGCCCTTGGGTGTTAAGAATTTATTTCTTGGGTATATTTGTTACCAGTGGTTCATACTTCATCTCAGTGCCATTGGGCAGTATTGAAGGACGGAGCAGGGATGGGTGTCTCCTGATGGGAATAATTCGTCAGGAGTAGTCAGCTCCTGAGCCGCAGATGGGCCTTCTTGGTTTTGATTGTGAGTTTCCTTTGACTCCTGGATCCTGGCTCAGGGCAAGGTGAGATTCCTAGCTGGCCTTTGAGTGCGGTTTCTCAGACATGCCAGATTTTTCCTAAAGTGAGTTTAGAATTTTTTGATGAAGACAAAAGGACCTTAACCCGTTGTCAAAAGTTACATGGAGAAGAAGCCTGGCTGTTGCTACGCAACAAGGAGACTAATCTTTGCTCCAGGATCAATCAGTTTTATTTACCTGAGCTCTTGGAGAGGGGTGGGCAGTGGAATGGAATGGGGTCACAGATACCTGCAAAAGTCTTGCTTCCTTCTAGGAACTCATCTTGTAGGGGTGAGCAAACAGCCATCTGAAAGGATGAAACAATAATTCCTCCTCAGGGCACCTGGGTGGCTCAGTCAGTTGAGTGTCTGGCTCTTGATTTCGGCTCCGGCCATGATTTCACGGTTTGTGGGTTCAAGCCCCACATCGGGCTCTGTGCTGACAGCGCATGGCCTGCTTGAAATCTCTCTCTCCTTCTCTCTCTTCCCCTTTCTTGCTTGTGCGCTCTCTCAAATAAATATTAAAAAAAAATGTCTCCTTCCCCCCACTTCCCTCTAGGATTATTCTGTAATAAGGGAGTTGCCAAGGATTGACAGTTTGGTCCTCTACTCCTGGGTTCGTGACTCACGTTTTTTCTGCATTCTTATTTTGGGAGGCCTTCTCCCATATGTAAAACCAAAATGATAGGTAATTCTCAGGTAACTCTCTACCTGTAACTCCAACCTTCTGTCCCACCCAACAAAACCTAGAAATACAGACAGGTAAGAGTGACACTGTTAACAAAGTTTGCTTTCAAGCTACTACATTTATTTTTAATGTAAGTCCCATGTGAAGCTTCAGTCTTCATTAGTTACAAGAACCTTGAACCCCTCTCATAACCATTCGTGGCACCCCATTGTGACATGGTGCCTTGGGTGAGAGCCTGCTTGGTGGCAGCGGAGTAACGAATGATCTACCAACTGGGCCTCATCCTCTGAATAGAATGTAGGAGAATAAGCCTTGCTATGAGGTGCTTTTGATTGTGTTCGACTTTTGTTTCAGTCCATATATGTTAAAGCCCTAATAA